AAACAAACAAACAAACAAACAAAAAAAACAACAAAGTGAAACAGCCAGAAGAAATGTTCTTGTTTAAACATAACTTGGTAGATTTATGCAGGATTTACTTTAAAATAAGATTTTACATCTAGTAGCGGCACTGGGGACTTCAATAATAGTCAGAGGCTTGTTGTCATGCCAACCTGTCCAATACCTGAACAGGTGACATGAGACTCTGTGTAACTTGGTGGACATGACCTACGTTGTGGTCTGTCTTGGATAAGAAGACAGACCACAGCCATCCAGGAGTAAACTGTTTATTCCCTTCATGATGTTTCAAGAGTTTATTTCTGTTTATTTGAATGGTTGTAGCTTGAAAGTAAGGAAAACCAAAAATGTAATTTCTTAGAAAATAACATGAGAGCAATAAAATAAATCCTTGAAAGCGACCATATTGGTGGAAAGTAAAATGGAAGGGAAAAAGTCTGGAAGAACAGGGATAACCACAACCTAGAGAAGGTAGTGAAACAAAGCACCTTCACTGGAAAGGAAGAACCAAAGGCTGGACTATGGTTGAGTCTTCAAGAGCCACTGCACTCAGACATATCCAGTACATGGACAGTAACCATCACGTTCCTTCAGTTAAATCTTGAACCAGAGACATCAGAAGCCGCTAATCTGAACTGAGGAGACAAAGGTTTGGACTGGATCAGTGGTCCAAAATCTTGTCTCTTGTCTTGCCTCCATATCATGAAGTATTTCATGTCAATGGATCCCCAATCAACTATTGAGTGAATATAGTTCATGAAATGCAAGAAAGCTTAGAAAGAACCAATTTCAACTCAACTACAAAATAAAATAAAAATATGAGCATTTATGAAAAAGTGGATTTATTGTACTTCAAGGGCAGTGTCATTGTGAAACACAGCCATGTAGGATTAGGTGTGTGCTTCACCCTCTCTTTTTGTGATGGAGATTGAGGCTGTGCTCTTTTATGCACAGGTTGAATGAGCAAAACAACCCAATACTACCAGTGGCAAAAGCTACATGAAGTGGGGATTGGAAAAGCAATATGGTCCAGTAATGCATGTATTCATGCTAGACCTTCTAAAAAAGCGTCAGCAGTGCAATCAGAGCGTGGTGGATCAGCTGTGTGATAACAACAATGATGCAGCCACAGATGTTCTTTTGTTGATAAAATCATGAAGAGATTGCTCTGTGTAGTCGTGAGCTCATCCATTCCCTTCCTTCTTCTGCAGCCATGATTCAAATACTTCTAACAGAGGTCCAGGTATGGTACTGATCATTCATGCACATCCCTAACTCAACACGGTACCATGTGCAAGGTACTAACAGCAAATCCTTTTCTGGTCAGTCACATCACCACAATGCATTCCTTGCATGGTGCACTAATTTGGAAAGAAAGTGAAAACCAAGTGGAACTAATAACATTACTGTAAACTTAAAGAAGCTATAATCTTACCACTTAGGAAGCTTTATTTTATAGGAAACATTCACCATTGTGCTTCCTAGAAACAGAGAGGCACCTGATGCTTTTGTTTGAAAAAAATATTTGTACCGATTGATAAGTAAACTGTAATCATTAATATTTAAAAGTGTTTCATGTAATACCTAAAGACTGAAAACATATTAATGTAATCTAAATGAAAACAAAAAAATATATAGTCTTGAGTCAACACTGGACTGTTAATATCATCATAGAAGCATGAATGCTTTCAAGTGTGTTTACTTTTTACACTATAACATTCAAATCCATAATATTCATCACAGGAAGAGGGTAGAAATCTCTTTTCCAAAAATAAGTCCTTGATACTGAGAGTAAGAAAAAATGGTAGAAAAAAAGAGTTGTGTGATTCGGACCTCCAAACACTGAAAGCACTTTATGACTGAGAATCTCAGACCAACATCATCATTGAGACGTCTGTAAAGCTAATATCAAAACATGTAGTGTTAGCCTACATCCTCTGGGATGTTTGCTACTTTTAAGTTGCTTTTAAGTAGTAGAAAAGCTTCATGTTTTTCTTGTCTACTAGCTTCATGGAGAAAGCATGTCGAAACAACACTGTTATATTAGACAGAAAATGTTCATTTTAATAATATACTGATAGCCCACAGAGAGTGTAACCCTAACCCTAACCCACTCTCTGTGTATTTCTACACAAAGTGTAGGAATACACTCTGTGGGCTATCATCCACCTGATTTTAGCTAAAGTGTTAAGATAAAAATATCTATATATGATGAAAGACTTTTAAAGACATTTATACTTAGTTGTTTATTAGTCAAGAAAAAATTGTAAGCTATTTATTTTGTAGCATTTCTACAATTAAAATACCATGAATTGCATGGTATTCCTGAAGATATTGAATGCTTTACACATTTATATTCAAATAGATCAATTATTTTCCTTAGTTGCATCATTATATGTACTGTAGCATAAAGTAGAACTAATTGGGTTCAGGGTTGCAAGGTGCTGGAGCCATAAGGCAAACCAAGGTCACTATTTCTTCACAGGGTCAACAGAGAGAAAGACACATCAGCTGCATACTTATTCATCACAGTAGTTAACCAAAATCTACTGGGAGGAAATCTTATTCACAGAGAGAAAGTAAAAACCTTGTTATGAGACGACATCTGAGTCACTCTGCTGACTACCCACCTTCTCCTGAAATATGAGACAACTTTTGTTGGTAATAGCATCAACACAGATGGTAGGGCCAGAACTGGACATACTGCAGAACATCATAGCTGTTGCCTCATTCACACCCAGTTTGGCAGAGTGCTTCTAAAGGAGAGGAACTGAGGACGCTGGGAAAGTTGATTTTTGCTGCTGAGAAACTTCAGTTCAACTTAGCAACATTTGGGATCAAATGCCACTTCATCCTATTGACATTTCTTCCAGTCTGGTGTTTATTTGTCAGGGCTGAGATACAAGTGATGGTATCCTAATAACCGAACCTTAACTTTTGTTGTTGTTTTTATGGGATAACAATGACACACACCTGGCATTGTGTCTGACTTGTTGCAGCATTACAGGCCACAGAATCTTTCTTTGTCAAACCAGAATGATTAGGATCATCCTGCTAATTTTATTAACGCTCTTGTACAGCACTTTGGTACAGTTTTATACCTGTTTTAAAGTGCTATATAAATAAATTTGACATCGACAACAAAGATAACCTGAGTAAATACAAAAAGCAGATTTAAATGATGAAGAAAAATCTAACAGCCCATGAAAGCTAACAGGCTGCTGTTAGCCTTTAGCCTAAATGAATACAACTCTATGTATTGCTGAGTTTACTAACAGTATTTATGCAGGAAATTTCACTCCTGCATAAATAAAGCTTCAGAGTGCTTATCATTTGGATAAACCACATTGGATCATAACAAGATTTGTCCACATGTGTTTACACGGCCCACTGCTTCGCTCAAACATAATGTCCCTGTGGAACACAACGGCAAGGTGCTCTAATTGAATAACACAAATAACTGGATATCATTCTGAGTTCTCCCAGTAGCTATTTTCTCACTGGAGAAAAAAATGGCTTATACACACTTTATAGTAAAATGACCCTACACAGTCAGTTCAATTTCTGTTAAGCCAGTCATGAAACATCCTCAGAAAATCCACCAACACATTCTGCCAGGTCAAATGAAAGATGAAAAAGGTCAAGAAGCAGAAGACAGAAACCAAGAACAATTACTGTAATTGTGTTGCCTTGTAAGTGTGAAAGTGTGTATTTAATAGCCAATATTTGAAAAAAAAAAAAAAAAAAGTCCCTTCATGGTGAGAACAATGGGGTTAAAAGTATTCACACCATGCCCAGAACACTAGCTAAAGACTTTGTAAAGATACTCATCATCCACAGTGAAACCAGTCGTGTCCCACCATAGGCTGAAAGGCTCAGAGAGGAAGAAGCCATTACTCCAAACCAAACATTCAGCCAGATTACAGTTCAGGAATCCACTTAGAAACAAGAGCTTTGGAGACATGTCTGAAGAAACAAAAATGTAAGTTTTGAGCTCTTCTGACTGTTGTCATATTTAAAATGAAATAAAATAAAATAAAAAAAATCAAAAATTCAAAATAAAAACAGATGTCATCAAGAAAAAAAAAACAATCTGTGCAAATTAGAGTCTACAGACATCAGCAATAAAGTTAAAGTTTGAGGGTAAATGGATTTATAATACCCAAAAGTAAACATTCCAGTTTTGAAACAAAATGTTTTTCAGTAAAATATTTGTGGTGCTAGTATTAGGTGGTTTTTTGGTTTATTTGGGAAAACTGCAACGGAAATGTTTTTTTTTCCACATCACAAGTCACATGATCAACAGCCGGATGTTGCCACTGGCGCAAACCACAAAGAAGACAACAGGAAGTAATTGGAGGATCATGACACTGCATGTTTTTGTAACGCATTGACAAACTTATTCACATGTGATTTAAATTGTGTTTCTTATTTAATAGAAACACTACAATTGCAAAAATGTAATCGTTCAACATTATTGCAATATTGACAAATTTTGCTCACATATGCAATGGTTTGTTTCAGAGTGAGCAGGAAAGGCCTGAAGCCAGAGGACTTTAGTGGATGGAGCCTAAAGGGTGTATGTGAATAACTTCGGTAAATCAGATGACCTGAAATGGTAAAAGTTTAGTTTGTTTTAAAGTCAGGCAGTAAAAAATTTGTTATTTGGATACAGTATATGGAAATATGTTGTTGCAACACTACATTTTCACCACATGCTTACTCAGTGTAAACACTCACTTTCTTTTCTCTGGCAGCCATCTGTCTTTTCCTCTTCACTTGGCTTCTCGCGATGCTGGCAAACTTTCTGGCCACGGTTCTGGGGCGGCTGATTGGGATGGAGCGCCTCTCCGCTCCTTCCACTGGCGGGACGATCTCGATCGCTGTGATGCATTCATCACCCGCCTGCTTCGTTACTATCTTTATCTTGGACCACCTTGACGATGGGTTCATCTTGGTAAGCGCAGAGTTGGATGTCGTTGTCATGACAACTGGATTAGCATTTGTAGCTGCCTGTAATCAAAAGTAAAGAGTTTTATTAAATCTCACTGTGATTTCTCTTTTAAAAGGATTAAAACTTTTCTTTTTCATGGGTTTTTTTCATAAAGTTAGAGTAGCTAATGGTAGACAGTGATCATTTGGCTGCTCACACTGAACCAGGCTCTACTGGAGGTTTATTCCTGTTAAAGTGAAGTTCTTCTTAACTTTAAACATTCCTATGAGACACAGAAGCTCCTCTCCAGCAGCAAAGCAGGTAATTATCAGTAAGGTCTCACAGGAACTCAGTGTAACATCTGCAGAGCAAAGGGTTGAGGTGAAAGGTAATGTTCTCCTACAGAAAGTCAGTAACTGAGCTAGCAAACATGAGACAGTAAGTACAAAAGAATGGACAGTTAATTAATTGAATATAAAACCATGTAGATGGGATTTTAAATCAAGACCATAAACTATGTTGCATTTTATACTGATTTGCTGCATCAGTTGAATGTCTGCTGACAGAGGCTCAACGTTTTAAATTGCTTATTTAATAGAATTTTAATGATGAACTCTACTGGATATAATGGATGACACAGCACAGCAGCGGATCTTATTGTTGCTCCCAGCAGTTTATATCTTCTTAAATGGAAAATGTTACATGCAAAACAAATAAACAAAATCTTTTATTACCTATTTATTTTATTTTATTTTTGTTTCATAAAAAGTCATGCCACAAGCGTCCAGCGACTTTTCTACCTGGAAACACACTTGGGGACACCCATCCATTATACTTTACTAAATACAGTTTTACAAGAAAATTATAATTTTTGTTGCTGGAAATGCACGAAAACATTCTATAGATAACCGCAGAAATTAAGGCAAATATGCTAATGTTTGTTTGGTTAAAATATTAGTTGTACTTATTGTTCTGTAGACAAAGGAGGAAGACTTCACACTTTTTGTGTTTTCAATTGAAGAGTTAAAGCTAATGTTGGCCCAATTCAGACAGATGTTCTCCATGATGTATTGGGTTACACTGCCATTACATTCCTGTGCTTTACTGACTGCATCCTGGCTGACCTTCTCCTCACAGACTAAGGTTACAAGTTGATGTGAGGGTGGAGGAGAGAAGCACATGATAGTGGTCTGATTTCCCAATCAGAACATTTTTGAAGAACTTCATGTTTGCAAACATTTGTGTTGAATAAACTTTCCATCCATCCTGACAGTTTAAAGTGGAGCTGAACGAACAAGAGTAAGACCAGAACTGCAAAGTCTTAATCCAACAGGATCATTGTGAAAACCTGAAGCAGAACTACACACAGTTATATACCAGTATATGTCTCACAGATGAATGAGTCTGCTGTAAAATCTATCAACCTCAGGAAAAAAACAAGATACAACTGTGTCATTAGATTGTCTTATTATCCAAAGTGAAATGATTTCTGTACGTTATGAGCTCAGCAAGAAAGAAGCCATTACTCCAAAACTGACAAAAAAATTATTTGGAAATTTGCAAAAGGAAATATCTTTTCAGTTTTAGAAAAAAAATCTGTAGCATGATGATAAAAAAAATGAAGTTTTGGTTATAATTTCCAGTTCTGTCAGGAGGAAAGGGACAAATGCTCCAGGTCATACATGTTCATGAGGTAATTCCTCCAATTACTAGAGAAACTGTTCAAGATGAACAAAGAAAATAGAAAATTAATTATCTTTATTTCTTCAGGCATATTTAAAAAGGAAACAGTTTTGATAATCTTCAGTAAAACAGAATTCATGTCAGACAATGAAATGTGTGTGTACAGTTACAGTGTGTATAAGAAACTGGTTTCAACTCTGTTCTTATTTAATTCAAGACAAACTTTACTTAAAATATTTTCTAGTGCTGTTCATAGGATATTCAGAAGACTCAAGAATTAGCAACATATTTCCGTTCATTGTCATATAGCTTATCTTTTTCTGATCATTGTCTTCTTTTTCTAAGGAAGCCAGAAGGTTCTGGCTTTAAATCCCAGTCCAGGTTCTTTCTGCTGGAACCGTTCATGTTCTCTTCAGGGACTCTGACTGTTGGGTTAATTGGTCTCTTTAAATTACCTTTGGGTATGAATGTGTGTGTGCATGTCTGTTTGTTCTGTGTGTGTCTGTGTTGTGATGGGCTGGCAGCGTCTCCAGGGTGTAACTCGCCTCTCACCTGTTGACCTCTGGAGATAGGTCATAAATAGTTAATAGATGGGAAGAATGTACTGCTTTATATTGCTTTTGTTTTTATATTTCAATAATTAAAGACAATGAATTAAATAAAGGTTGTAAGATGAGGTTCCAGCCTTATCATTATTATTAGAAGTAGTACTGTAGTAGTAATATATTAATTTATTTGCACCTTCTGCCTATAAATGAAAATTTTTCCAGTCTTTAATATTTCTGTTTTCTGAATTTTTAAATTATTTTTTGAAAGTTTATGGCATTGATTCAATGAAACAATTTCTGAAAGACTCACTAAGATTCTTTGGCGATCACATATGCATACAAACTGCACCAGAGTTCACTTCAACCAAATGCAGGCCCAGGTTTTTTATTGGTCAGAGTTTGATTAACATCCCCAACATAGTAGAGTTTGATTAAAGAACAAGGCTGGTGTGAATTCAACGTAATTCACATATTTCCTAAAATGTGTCTTGGTTGCAAAGTCAGATCACAAAAACCAAATAGGCCATACATGTCTAGCCTTTTTTTTTTACACACACTGCTGTCTTTAGAAGCTCTTTCCAGAGCCTTTACTTGCGTCTGGGTTCACCATTAAAATGTCTGAAAGATAAGCAAATATGAACCAGCACATTTGTGTGCTGATAAGAGCCGCTGCATTTGATACAAGTATCCACGGAAACCAGCCATCAGATAGCCATGCGTAGAGAAAACATGGCGATCTCAGCGTCCTGCCTCATGGAAAGATGCTCCCCCATGTCTTTTCCCTGGAGTTTCCCGCTGTGAGAGCTCATCTCCAGCAGAACATCTCCCGCCCTGAACAGCTCGTGTCAACAGCATCTGGGGAAAAGAGCCAAGCCAAATTGTCTATAGAGTCTTGTGAGCATCTCTCTGTGTGTGAATAGAGCTAATGGGAACATTAATCAATGACGTGGGGTTTGAATGTATTAAAAGTGGATTTTTTTCCCCCCACTGACGTGTAAAATACAGAGCGCTGGGAATTTCTTTATCTAAATACATGGGCAGGGCTTCAGGCAAGAGGAATCTCTGTGTCAACAGTTGTTTTGGCAAAGAGTTTCACAGTTAACTGGTTAAAAAAAGCCTCAGCCTGAGTGCTAAGAATAAACTCAGTGGGGAAAATGGTTTGAGGATGTGTGAAGAGCAGCTTAAACACCTGGAACAGTTTGTTTCTAAAGGTTAGAGAAGGAGGCAAAGATGCTCCAAGGAGAACAAAAAATATTATTTTGAAACATTCTGATCTAAAGAAGCAATGACATTTAATCACCTTTTTCATTTTAATCTAAAATATAAAAACTTTAGGACTGATTTGCTAAAAACTAAATGATTTTGCAAAACCAACTCAGTTTTGAGGGTTCTCCTATTTGCGGATTTTTTTTCACAGAAAACCGGCTTATTCATGAAATTCTTTTGTAAAACATATCTTAAATATTAGATAAATGGAGCTTGGGAAGGTGCTGCTGGCTTGTGCTTGAAAAACAGCCAATCTACACAGCAAATTCAGAAGTGTCAGATTTCCAGTGCAAGTGTTGTATGTTAAAAATACAGTGTTAATTCAACAACATGAGTGTTAGTTTCCCTAAAACTCACTAAAGAGTTCCAAAGTGTTAAACAAAAAGCAATCCAGTCCAGTGTTGATTTCTAAATTAAGTCCAACAGTCTACATCAAAACTCAATCTGGTGTTCATTTAGAAATCAATATCAGACAGTTCCTCACACAATTGTAACATCCCTTCAAGAAGGGAGCTACAGGTAGGGTGGAGGTTGCAACAGGCTCCCAGCCTGACCTACAAAGAAACCACATGGGATAAAAATTGTCTTTATAACATCTGATGAGAACTATAAAATAGAAGCACTCTCCTGTTGAAGAGTTGATACCCAGTAGCTAATATAATAGGGTGCCCCATTGTTGACTCGTGGTTGCTAAAAACCTTACCAGACTGACTGATTTTAGTGACATAGTGAGTGTAAAATATTGAATAAAATGTTGTGCCACATGACTGGCTTTATTTTCACTCTTATATTTAACTTTATGACACACAAAGCTACAAATGAATCATCCTTATTGTCTCCAAGTGCATTCTGGGTAAAGCTTGTCACCAACGTCATCATCAGTCACTTGGCAACAAATGGCAAACTAGCTAGAGCATTTCTACAGATTACGTTAACATGTTTTGAGTTTGTGTTGTTTCATCATTAGCCTGGTGTTTCTGTTCTTCTCTTGGTTTGTTGTACTTCATGTCAGATGGATTTCAAAATGACATAGTCGCTCTCTGTGGTGATGAAACTTGTTAGCTCCTCTGTTGCGGGCATGTCCATGTTGTAAGGTTAAATTATCATGAGCTTTATTATTTGGGCCCGGTCATTAGCCCTGCCCCCCGGCCGACGTCGTCTTGTTCCGCTGCTGCGTCACGTTTCCCTGATGTAACAGAGAGAAAAGCTTGTGTGTGTCTTTGTGTGAGTTTTGATCAAAATGATTGTAGGGTTGTATGTGTTTATGAGATTTTTGATCAATGCGTTTGTTAGGAGCCACCTAGTGGTGTGATTAGTGACTGCATGCAACGGGTCCGTCAGGCAGTCTCGCGGCTTCCCCCATCAGAATTCTGAGGAGCGCTGGTGGAACCTGTCGGACCACTTGCCTGCAGTCAAAGTCACATGGTGAAGAGTTTTTATTCTGCATTGTACTAGGTGACCGACAAGTAAATAAGAAGAGTTACACTGAGGAGCGGAGCAGGGGCGGATCTAGAAAAATATTTATGGGGTGGCAAGAGGGTGGCAGGGACTTTTTCAGGGG